AAATTATTTTATGTTTACCTGAAACATTTTGACATGCAATGTTTTCACTGCCTCTTCCATAAATGACGCAGATGACCAAAGATCTGAAAGTTGCTTGTTCCATGGTTTTAACCAGAAACCTGGTAGTTCCTTTTCCAAACCAGAATAATAATCTTTGAAGAATTGTATAACGTAACTCGCTGCAGGGTCTTTCAAATTAGCTACAATTAACATGCAGTACAAGATAAAATAACTCACACTTCTTTCTTTTCATCAACCCTAATATCTGCAGAGGAAGGGGGGGGGGTAAAATCCCCGATTTTCTCGATAGTACTTTTGCAAGTTTTTTTGCCTTCGTTTTTTCCCTAGCAATGGGAAATGCCATTATAAACGAATTTCATAAAATATTGATCATTATTGCTATGTTTAATATATCATTTAGCATATTTAATTCTCTTCCCAACATACTTTGTTCTATGAAAATCGAGCCACTATTTTCTACATGATGATTTTTAAAGGTAAAAAACGGCTAATTGCAAAGTATTCACTAATCGCATTCTGTTCACGCTTTTGAGAGAAAAACGCTTTTTCAAAAACTGCTCAATGATTACATTTGGATTTTTACGCATTTTACTGAATGCTACTGCAAACTGTGGTATCAGAATTATGATGATAACCCCCTGCACATTTAAGACATAATTTTTATTCTCCCCGTCCCTAAATTATCAATTTTACTATATAAATTTCACTTGAATTCAATTTATAGTCCGTTGCCATTTGGTTGCCAGGCAACCAAATAGCAACTGACTTATACTCATACAAAGTCAAGCAACCATTTATTTTCTTACTAAATCACTGATTGTTGCGTGTAGAACATCTTGAATAAAAATGTAAAAGACAAAAAGAAGTTGAACTTGTAATGTTGATTAATCAATTACGCGTTCCAATTTACAATTTAGCACAAAATGTCAACTATGAACTTAGGTAACTTTGACCTCGATTTGACGTTTGTTCACCTACTTTAAGTTTAAAAATATTTTTTGGAAAAATTAAGTACCAACATTAAAATCAGAAAAGTTATAAAAATCGCCGAGTGGGTCATAATGACGCACATTATTGCGACTTAGTGTTATAAAAAAGGTTTCAGACGTGTAGTTCAGTGGTAGCATATTAGTCTATATGGGCCAATTACGCATTAGGTCCCGGAATCATTCCCTGGTTCGAGAAAAGTTAGGTTGAATTCGCGAATGCGGTCGTCGGCTACCGGATTAATCTACTATTGTATGGGCAAATCATTTAAATATGAATGTTTAAATAAGGTTAATCCGGTAGCCGGAAGCCGTTAGTTGCGTTCGAGAATTCAAGCTCAATTAATGTCTGCGTAAAGTACATCAGGGTGTTTGACTGAGTGGTCTAGAACTCGTACAAAAAGACTATGGAGTGTTCTTGTAGATGTTGCCGTATCGACTCTCGGCCCGGGGAAGTCCTAGACGTTGCCTCGCCGCTAGGCTCCCCGGCGAGGCGGTTAGAAGTTGATGTATGCATGTACATAGAAATCATCTAATATGACTCGTTAAAGGAGGTTTTTAAGGTCTGTGTTCCAGGTTAATTACGTAAATTACGACCGTACAAATTACGACGAATACACCCCGCAGGGCTAGGCACAAACGTTTTCTGTAACCCGAACGACCGAAGGGAGTGAGGGGTTCGAAAGCCTTTGTGCCTAGCCCTAAGGGGTGTATTCGTCGATAGTACACCTGCTCTGAGATCAATATTACGATTCGAGCATGAAAACTCACCAACATTTTTCGAAAATTCATTTTATGGTACTACATACTACGGTCCGCAGTTGTGACGTCACACATTACTCGTATTACCAGAGGTAGTGTTAACGAATATACCCCGGTGAAATGTTGACTTTGTTCACAGTTTAAGAAGGCGTGAATAGTGAATACAGCCATGTTCGAATACGGGGTATACTTAAGAGGTATTGCTCACCTTCATTGGTGGTAAACAAAATACACAATTAGGGATAAATGAAATTGATCATAAATAATTTTGTAACCTATGAATGCCTTTGCAAACTAAAGGTTTCTGAAATGATAATGTTTTATATCATTATACACTGGCGGATCTGGGGGGGGGGGGGCAGAAAAGAAATGGGCCCAAAAAATGTTGAGCCAAAAAAAGCCTCAGGGCCTCAAAAAGTGGGCCTTTTAGGTCATAAATGGGCCTTCTAAGGCCTTATTTTTTAATCTTAAGCAAAATTTTGAAGAAAATGGGCCTCAAAATTTTTTTCTCAGACCAGATGTTTGCCCCCCCCCCCTTGTTGGTTCCCAGATCCGCCCCTGCTATATGTCTACCTGATTTAATAATGCGATCTGCTATTCCCATGCAGTCTTCATAGGAGACTATCCCATCTTTGTCAATATCCCAAGCAAAAAGAGTGGTCATTTTCTTAACGACCCAGATGCGCGGAATGTCTTTCATCTAAACATAGTAAAGTTTACATAGTTTTAAAAACAGGAACGTGTTAAGGTAAATCCGCCTCCTGGAAAATTGATCCCTACGTGACATGTATTTGTCCGTGAGTATAAATAGTTATGGCCTTGCAAGTTGCAAGCAGCATTCTTTCCGGGATGTACTTTTCTAAATATAATCTGGTATATGGGACATGTCTGAAATCATTGCTAAATTGCTATGTTAAAAATTAGCTTGTAACACGAAATGCATTAACCCGCGACCGTTCTCATCAAAATATAATTAAAGGCATTTTGTTAATGTAACTATATAGTTAATCAGTTATATTGGAATATAAACTATGCACTTTGTCCTTGGATGAACAGATACTATGATTGAAAAAGAAAACTATTTAGAACATTAAAATAAAAATAACTACGTGGATTCGTCTGTACTTCGCCAACCTCGTATTCAAGTATGTAGATGCAATTTTTAAGGTTATAGATTTTCACACTTATTGATCTTAATTGAGATTGTTGTATTTTCTCATAAGCAATGTTAAAGATAGATTGTTACTCACTTGAGGTTTAATAGCATCCATAGTCGCAGGTACATAGATTGTTTTTATTTAATATTTAATTTAATGTAATCGTAACACATGCTTTTAGTTGTTTACTGTTACTCAGTAGAGCCCGACGAAAGGTATCAAAAGGTACAGAGGATGAGCGTGATGTAAAAGCAGTTTTGAAAAATGGTCTCTTTATGTGGGTTATACTTGGTTTATTGGCGTCTTATTTTTCAGCGTTTGGGATTTATGCAGATTTATACCCCCTGGTGTGATTTTCAGGGGGTACCATGAAAGCCGATGTGTCCTAGAATATCTACCCAATCGTCTTGATATTTACAATTAATCATATACTTATCATGTCCGTCCACTATGACAAGTTTCACTAATGCTGGTCAACTGGTTGCTATAGTAATGGAAAAAGTACACAAATCACATAATATTTTCATGAAATTGGGAGGAATCGGCATGAAAACATTTAAGAAAAGTTATTCAGAGTATGTTTGATAGTATTAAATCAATTTATATTTTATCTTAGCCATACAATAATATGGCTATGCAAAGAATGTTAGAAAGAGGGCGTGGTCCTTTTCAATTAATGGTCCTGAAATTAACAGATATCATTGAAAATAGTATGTTTGAATATCATGGAAAGTTTCACCAATGTTGGTCTTACTACTAGTTACTATGGCAATTGAAATCATTTGTTAAAAGTACACATTAAGGGGTATAATGAAATCATGTATAATGCCTATAATATCCAACCAATCATCTTAAAATTTACAGGAAATCATTTACTTCTCATGCCCTACCACCATGACAAGTTAAATCAATATTGGTATTCTGGTTACTATGGTAACAGTAATAATTTGTTAAAACACATTAAGGGGGCCACTAGGAAAGCCATGTATAGAATATCCAAACAATTATCTTGACATTTACAGGTTATCACCTACACGTCCTACAACTATGACAAGTTTCATCAATGTTGGTCGGGTGGCTGCACTAGCGGATCTAGACGCATGCACGGGGGCGTGGGCGCACCCCCTCCCCAAAAGTCAGAATTTCCTTGCATACGCTGGAATCCGACCCGGGAATTGGACCTACGCACTGAAATTGTTTTTTTAAAGGACGATTCTCGGTTTGGAGAACAGTCTCCTGGGCTAATAATTTGTTTCACGAAAAATATAGAAATATTACCCAAATTAAACTATGAATATTCAAAAGAGGACATTTAAATCTACAAGATGTAAAAATAACAAATTGGTCTGAAGCAGGGATAACGCTCAATTAGACCGATTCAATAAAATACAAGTCTCAATTTGGGGAAAGAAGTTTATCAGTGCGCTGCGCTAATATTTTTTTGCGAAAAATCTAAAAATATTACCCAAATTAAATTATGACTATTCAAAAGAAGACATTCAAATCTATATTATGTAAAAAAATCAAATTTGTCCGAAGCAGGGATAATGCTCATTTAGATTGATGAACTTCGTTCTCCAAACCGAGAATCGTCCTTTTCGAAATTATCTTGGTGGAGAACCTCCAGAACTCCCAATATTCTCAACCTCGCTCGCTGTGTCATTCACGCTATTCGCCAAACGACCCCCCTTACACAAAATCTTGGATCCGCCCCTGGATTGCTATGGTTACATAAATCATTTGCTGAAAAGTGCAAATTTTCGTAAAATTCTAAGACACACCCTTAGACAGCACATACTTAGACAAAGCACATAATATCTTCATCAAATGTGGAGAAATTAGTGTAAAAACATTCCAGGAAACCTTTTCAGAGTGTCTGATAATGTTAAATCAATAGATATTTTATCTAAGTCATTTGATGCATTCTATTTGGTGATCGTAATAAGACTATGAATGTGACTGTAACATATACTGACATTATGCGCGGGGATATAGCAAAATACGAACTAGTGTCACTTGGTGTCATTTATTCATCTATTTGATCATTTTCAAAACAGATGAGCTGTACTAGCTGCCATCTTTCTTTAAACATATATCCGCATTACTGTTAAGAAGATATATAAATAAATTCTGAATACAAAAAATATTACAAACATATGATAGTCTACAGTTTTGTTTATAATCCAAACACTGACAGTACCCATTTTCTTTGTTTTAGCATTTAAAATACAATTTGATAGCCCTGCCCAGCCCTTGTATGTCATTCTTATTCTAATAATTGCCTATCTATCATATAACCAATCGGTTACCTTGGATGTTCGTCGCCAAATCCTGCTGTCATTGTAACAATCGACCGTCAGCTGCCTAGAATGTTTCGCTTCATTAAAATAAATTATCAAAAATGAGAGTATACTGAGAGTGCTATTGAAGCTGCAATTGAACTATTACATGTATATTGTATCATCATCCATTTTGGATAATTTAGGACCAGAATGTAATTGATGGATCTTTGGTTACACATTTCCTAAGATTCTTTACATAGGCGTTAACTAGTTCAATACGTCTTTTGTCCCGAGTTCTTCCTTTTGAAATATTTTGTTGTCATATCCACTCATCTGCGCATGCGTCTGTGTGGCAGTCAGGGAGCTTACAGAGGAATTAAGGGTAACCTTACGTTGCCGTAGTCTCATCTGGGCACACAAGTAGTACTGGTTAAAATTCCTTGCTATGATTGGTATGGGTAAAGCGGTTGCTATGATACCACACATTGCGCATGCGCCACCTATTACATAACCAATAGGCTGCGTTGGATGTTCGTCGCCATAACCAACTGTTGTCATGGTGACAATCGACCACCAGATGCCCATTGGGATTGTTTGAAAATGATCCGATTGTTCGTACTCTGCGTAATATATAAGCACAGAGAAGACAACCATTCCGATGCAGAGAAACACCACCAAGAGGATCAACTCCTTGAAGCTTGCTTTGATGGCAAGATACAATACTTGAAGGCCAACATAATGTCGAGCAAGTTTCAATATACGGAATACACGAAAAACCCGAGTAAGTGCAATAGCTGTGAAGACCCAAACGAGCGTCTCGTTTGTCTTGAAAGTGGGCATGACGTAGAGGAAGACGTATGCGATCCACATCGGAATGACACAAATGAAATCATTCCAGGTAAGAACTGACTTCATGAACAGTTTCTTATTCGGAGATACCACAATCCGAAGCATTAACTCAACTGTGAATATGCAGTTTAGAACAAGGTCAAAGTATTCTATGCTAGGGTATACATCCGTTGTGGCGTACATTATCTGTTTTGGGTTGGTAACGTTTGCATCGAGAGGTATGGGATTTGTAGCAGGGATGCGACATGCGGGCACGCTCTCTAGACAAATCACTGTGATTGAGCAGATACTCATCAAAAGAAACAACACCGACCATATCTGAAAATATCATAAATACATTTTTCATTTATTTCAATTTCCATGCAAGTATAAGATGATAGATATCTTATAATATTGTTTTTCACTATTTACGTGTAGTTGTAAAACTATTTAGGATTTTTTACTTAATTTTTTATATTATTTATATTTTTCCATTAGTAATGTTTAAATTCAGTTTGACCTCACAATATTTCAGAATGTTTATACGATTCATTGGATTTACATGAACATACACTTGTATAGGAACGATATGCGTTTGTTCATACATTAAATAATCTAACGAGGCACATTTAACAACAGCACTAACCTTTGCTGCTTTTGACGACTTTGGGTCTTCAAAGAACAACCAGATATTTTGTTTGAGTTTTGAAAAACAACCTATGTGCTGTTTGTATTTCTTCACTCCAGTCATACCGTACCACCTCTCCAGCCAATCAAATGTATTGTCTATGTTTCTGAAAATGATTTCATCAGTTTCTTGAATAGCCAGCTTTTTCCAACAACATCCGGGAATGTTTTTCTCGTGGATATCCCAGAATTCAATTTCGTTTTTAATCTTTGCTGCACATATGAAACTCGGGAAATGCAAAGAACCAGCTGTATAGAAATCCAAAATAGAATGGAACAAAATTGGATTTCTGTCAAAGTAAAATTCCTGTGGTCCATCATTGTTCGTAGTCTGATCACCATCGTTCAGTAGTTTACCGAGAGTAGTACTTGGGTGCGCCTGAATGAGTTTCCTTGATGTAATGAAGATTTCCCCCCTTAGGATAATCTTCACTCTGTCTCTGTTATCAACCATAGTGTAGGATGTTCTACCCCGGGCAACGTTCCAGGTCTGTATTATTTGGTGGCAATTGTGCTACATCTCCAATGAGACACTCCAGGATCTATCAGTAGAATGTCCGTATTGACAACTGAAAGTTCACCTACATTACAATACGTGCATCCGTGTTGGCCATTAGGACTTCAGTCAGAACAATAGCCATAATACCTGAAAATATTTACTGGCAATTAGAAGGAAATATTGTATAACATCATTCAGTATAACAGGGGACACAAAGGCGCTATTGAACTTACAGCACCAAATCAATTACAGTTATAGTGGACTAATTTATTTTATGATCACTTGATCCGCAATTTCCAATAATTAATGGATTGTTACTCTTTTGATTTTACAATGTGTATGTACAAGAGACATATATTAGAGTGCAGCGTAAATCGTGCAGATAATTTCAAGTTATAGAGGAGTTTCTGTCCATTGTTAAATTGGCTTCTGTCAGGCCTAGTCTGCCATTCTCTAACAAATTCTCGACCATAACATTTTTAAACGAGGTAAATATTCACTTACGTACACATCATTCTACAATCACTGGAGAGGTTAAGCTAACGATGTTTTTCACAACGTAACCGTGAACGCAAAGTACAAAAATTAACAAAGGAATGTATCGAGCGCTCATAGTTTTATGCGCGCTTAGTCTACTTCAGATACTCTTTCAGCTTCAGAGTTTCGGGTTTAGAACGGGAGATTTGAATATTTGACGTTGGGTCAACGGGAACCATTTTACTCGTGTCTATTGAACACTATGCTGTCAATTTTGATTTCGATGCACAGTTATATTCTTGCTGAACACGATGATGTATGTCATGCATGATTTAGCGCCAAAAATCTTACGAAACGAGCTCGTTTAAAATATGTATTAGAAAACCAGCTATAAAACTGCATCAATGACATACTATAGAATCATTACACGCTATGGTGTAGTCTAAACAAACACTGGATTTGAACGGCTATTTATATGAGAAGGCTACATGAATTTGTATATGGTCGAGTGATACGTACAGGTTCAGTTTCGATTATATATGCAAAGCTTAACCTCTCCAATGGCTGTCACTAAACGTATAGAGCCACCTGGCAAATGATTAAGTAGTACACAAACTATATCACAAGGGGTTCTGAAAAGTTTTTGTTAAGTGAATTACGAAATATCTTTATTGAATAGCCTCTGAGCCCACTTCGTTGAAATTATACAGATATAGCTTACCTTGAGGATGTAATTACTTTACTCGGTCCTGTTATGATGTAGTTGTTTTCTTCGCTGTCTTGCCACCTTGTCTTTTAATTCTCACACGTATCCCTACATGGTTCGTTCACCAGGCTTTAATACCTCCTTATAAATATAATGCTAAATGTGTAGCATATTTCAGATCGGAACATTTACAAAATAAATCAATGTTTTCACAGGACAATGCATGTCAAAATACAGACCTTGATAAGTACAATACCGAAATTCAATTTTCCTTAATAACTTATGTCCACTATTTTACTTCTAACTGGTGTCACGTTCGAGGGTGTGGATTTAATCGAGGCCCACGTGAATAGGCTAGATATGTGTTTACGGAATTATATAAAGAAATGATCCGGCTTGCTATTATGTTACTCTTAAATAGCAAAAATAAATACCAAAAATTCAGACACTCCCCAAAGTCCTCTGAATCGCAAAATTATCAAATTTTAAAATTTACAAAAACTCTGTTATGTCAACAGTCTTTTTTCTGATAGTTAGCATGACTATGGACCTTTTCAAGTTATCAAACTTGCTCTTTACTTGCCTTGAATTTCGAATTGCCTTATTTCATAATGTTTTATTAAAGTATTAGTTATTTACTATTACATTACAATACAACATTTGCCTTCCTGCGTGTATTTGAACCAGAGAGTAAAAACCTGTGTCCTGACGCCTTTGGTTTAAAAAGAAGTTTGTTTTGGCGAAGATTATATAATTTTAATAAGTGTTCTTGAAGTAGCTACCCGTGTAGCAATATTTGTTGTTCAATATGCCTCTGTTTACAATTCAAATTACACTACTTGAACATTCGGTAGCACATACTGTATATTTAGAGGATAATTTTGCGCTTTTCACTTTCGGAAATGAACATGTAATTGGGGTAACTCCCGTGGCAAATGTCCTAAAAACCACATATCCAAAACTGAGAAACATACAGCTAAGATAGATTAGAATAAGATGATTAAAATATATACATTCGTCTCCTTGAACTTTTATTACCCATCGAAAGTAGTTTTAAAATGGAATGACACAATCAAGCCTGTGTCCGTGCGAATTAGCAGTATACCGTATATATTAATTTATATAATTAATTAATATACGAGACCGCTGGCTCTATTTTTGCCATTTTTATCCTTTCTTGGTGATTTTTTCACACAATATAACCCAAATATATAGGATCACACCATGAAGATTTCACTGTTCTATGACATTATTATCCTATTGTTTTTGTTACCATGTTAACTAGTGACGCGACAAGGTGGAGCTCAGAAAAATACCAAATTTTAAATGTTATATGATGTTAAGACACTGTATTAATTGCTGAATATGTGACATACTGTATCTAGGTTGTATGATTTCGTTTAGTATATTCATTAATAATATTCATAGTAACTATTAGTATTCTTCCATCAATTCAAATCCTTCAAATTAGTTACCAGCACTTTGTAAGGATATGTTATGCCTTTTCACCCAGTCCCGAAAGACGTGATTATTATTATTATTATGTTTATTTTATCCATCAATTTCTGATGAGTACATTTACATACATTTTATATGATGAACATTTGTACATGTGTGTATAAATAGGTGTTAAGTATAAAGTATAAAAATAATTACACGTTATTTACATATTGCAATGCCTATTACACGAATAGACCTATTTACAATGACAATATACAAATTAAGTGATGCATTCAGTGGTAAATAATATCTTAGGAGATATCTCTCTTGTGATACATCATAAAAATTGACCTTGCGACAGCGATCAGAGATACATCGTCTAGGATTTGACCCTCATCGAATATAAACCTCAGTTTATTTTCGTCGTTCATTGTATTGCATCCATATTCCTCTACTATATCAACAATTGGCTTTCTCTCCTCATTCAACTTTTCACATTTAAGTACCATGTGTATCAAGGTTTCTTCATCAATATTGCATAATTTACACGTTCTGTCATTCTCGTTTGACCATTGTGCCTTATTCACTTGCAAGTTTCCTTCTCCCACTAATAGTGTCATCACAATACGAACATATTTTACTATTTTCGGATACCTCTTACTCACACACCACCATGATATCGGTTTGATAAACATGACAACATCTGCATATACATTCAACTTTCTATATGTTAACATTTCCAAATGCCAGGAATTTAACTGGTGATCCCATAAGGTATCTTTGACAGTCTTTTTCCATGACGATTTGCTTGGAATGAGAGCTGTTTTTACCATAGACATTACATCTGGCAATAATCCATATTTGTTACACGTGTGAACAATGTCCCTTATCGGTGACTGTGCATGAAGATTTTTAGAGATGATTTCAATTAAACGCTGGATTGTTAAGCGTTTGCAAATGCTACTTATTGGAAGAACAAGCAATTGCCATATAAACATTAACTTCATTTGGTCAATGATGTACGATATCTCGCTCCATCCAAGCTGTGGTAAAACTGCAGGATTACTTGTATTTATCGGGAGTCCTTGGATCTTCTTTGCAATTACCTTGTGCCCGTGGCTCAATTTTGTGTAATCACTTTCCTTCAGTGGTATAATTTCAAGTCCGTACAACATAGATGGCATTGCAACGGTCCAATAAAGTTTCGAGATTGTCAGTGGGTTAGATGGATTGATATGACTCGATGTTACCCCAACGTAGGAGTTAATTACCCTTCTACCTTTACCAATTCTGTTCTCTATGAAATTAGTATAGTTACCATTAGGTATAAGAGGGAGCCCCAGGTGTTCTAGCTGATCTACGACTGGAATATCTACGCCACCTATCGATAGTTCACATTTCTGGGTCGATCTCCCCTTACTGAATATTACTGATTTACATTTATGGGGGTGATACGTAAAACGCCATTTTAGACTGTATTGGTACACTGCATTTAAGAGCTGTTGCATGACTGGCACATGGTATGCAATTAGCATGGTGTCATCTGCATACGTCGGTATTGTATTATTAAGTCCATTTATAGATGAGCCAACACCACTCTCACATATTTCTTGTATCAGTCCATTCGTATACTTGGCGTACAGCTCCATGCTGTAGACCCCGCCCTGATGAACAGATTGTTCTACATTAAAGGACTCTGAAAGGTCATTGCACCCTTGGACACGCACAGTGCAGTTATAATCATCATACGCATTCCTCAATAGCCTCCAAAGTTTCCCTCGGATACCTTGCTCATGCATCTTATATAATAGACCCTTGTGGTACACCCCATCAAATGCTTTCCTGATGTCGAGTGCTACTATTATGACGTCATTTCCTCTTTCGAGCCCTGTGGCTATTGCCTCTCTTGCCAGAAATGACGTATGCAGACTGGAGACGTTTTTTCTACTAACACCTTGTAATTCGTGTTTTTCATCATGATATCCGAGTTCTTGACATTCTCGATCCCTTTTGGCCATTAATCCTTCGAGTAACTTCATATATGTGCACATTAGGGTGATTCCACGATGGTTATCTTTGTTCAATGGGTCTTTATTACCCCCTTTGAAAAGTGGAATAAGTACTCCTGTTTTAAAGCCCCTTGGGATATACTCTAATTGTACAATGCACTTAAACAAAATTGTCAAAACACTAATTAGCTTGGCTCCACCTAGTTTTAAATGATCGGAGCATATATCATCCCATCCAGGAGATTTGTTGCTGGAAAGCTTGGTACATAAGTTTGACATTTCATGCTCGGTGATTGGTGTCTTAAAAGCCTTATCGTTCATGTCAGATGGCTCAGCATTTATTTTCTCAATCTCACTGTCTATGTATTGACTGAAATCTTTGTCAAAAAGAGCATTGTCATTAAATGCCACAAGTTTGGAAAAATAATTCTTCCATTCATCCTTAATGTCTGAAGGATTGGTCAGCAGTACACCATCATCACTCTTAATGTTACTTGTAGTTTGCTTAGTGCGTCTGCGACTTTTAACTAAGGACCAGAAAAACGACATGGATATTTCTGAAGCACTATCTATTTCTTCCTGTAGCTTTAGTTGATGTTGGTATTCAGCACGTCTCAATTCTCTCTGAAATTCCCCCTTAGCTTGTTTATAATTTCGGCATACAACATTTTCAATATTTCTTTGTTTACCCGCCTTAACCCATTTGTTCCATGTCGACTTTTTCTCCTTAACAAGACGTTTCAGTGTTTCTGACCAGTATGGCTTCAAGTATTTTACAAAGCGTTTCTTGGGAAAGGCATCGTTTGCCTTATTTTTAAGTAGCTGTGTCAATCTTTCAAAATACAATTCGATATTTAAATCTGTAAGAATACCTTCCTTACTTTGAATTTCATTATATAATTGTGTAAGCTCTGGTTCCAATGATAATTGATACACGTTCTTGCTATCATTTGTTAATTTAGTCCATGCTATCCTAGTGGGTCCTGTATTTACTATTATATTACTTGACTTGACTACACATATATTTTCTACTGATAATTCAATGCAAACTGGGAGGTGATCATATGTGTTTATCAATTCATCATCCATCACATATATTTTGTTACAACAATTGAATAACCTTTCTGACACAATGCAATGGTCGACATATGATTTGCCAGTATAGTGATACAGACCATCTTTTCTACTTCGTGACCAACATTGGTGTGTGAATTCCCATTACTGTCCTCAAAGTGGATACCTCATAATTTTTTCTTCATTGTTGGGAAAAGATAGAAATCACACCCAGCTAATTCTGGGGGAATGGTGCCTGTGGTACACGGGCACAACCGATGGAAACAATCACATTTTGTAGATTCTCTATGTTTGGGTTATATTGTGTGAAAACATCACCAAGAAAGGATAAAAATGGCAAAAATAGAGCCAACGTTCCAGAAATCCCTGATCACCCCTCGTATATATGAGACAAATAAAAGCTGCAGTTTTTCAGTTCAAAACATTTTTGCATGCGGTACATTGCATCGAATTAAACATAAGAGTAAATCACAATGTGAAATGTTTTAATCTGTTTGGTTTAAGAATATGGGGTTTATGATAAACAGAAGACCCATCGTATATGTGTAACCTTAATTTTAATGATACGATTAAACGAGCACGTACGTATAGACGATAATTTAGAAGAATATTGCACCA